GATGCAATCAACTGGTTTTCCTTAGATAGAAAACTTTAAAACAATTTGAATGTATGATCTGGTGAACTGTAAAGTGCCTTGAGATGACATGTTGTTTATTGTAGCTATATAAATAAACTGAATTGAGCTGCAGTTCTGTGTATTTGCCACAGGTGGCAGTATCAATAGAAAACTCCATCATGCCTCTTTAAAGCAAACTTTTTAAAATTCATTTTTAACTGAACTATGTCACAGTCAAGATTACTTTCTTTCTGCCTAGGTATTTTTGATTAAGTTATTTGAAAACATGATTTTTGTTCTCTTTTGATAATAAAGCCTAAGATAAATTCTTTAATACGATTGTCAAATTTTTTTAAATTCTGATTTTTTTTTCTCATTTCTTTCTATATCACTAGTCGTGTCAAGCTATTTTTCATCATTGTAAAGATAAGTATTAAAGCAGCAATAAAGGACACAGTCTCCAGAAAATATCTCATCCTGTAATATTTAACTTCCAGCATTGACTGTGCTGGGATTCTGAAGCTGAGGAACTCTGACATCGAGTTGAGGAAAGGTGAAACGGACGTCGGGAGGAAAAATACTCGCGTCCGTCTGGTGTTTCGTACTCACCTCCCTGTAGTGCCCCCTGTGGCTCCACCTGGACGAGTCTTGGCCCTGCAGGTCGCCTCTTTACCCATTGAATGCTGTAAGAGGCACCAAATTGACATTTTTCTAGATTTGTTTTATTGTGATTCTACAATAGATGATTGTTTTTTTCTCTTTAATGCTTCAGCTCAGCGGTCAGCCCAGGAGCTGCCTGTCATCGAGTCAGTCAGCCTTACTTCCTGCTCTGTGGAGGGAGGCGAAGAGATGCTGCTGAGTGGCACCAACTTCCTGCCCATCTCCAGAGTCCTCTTCATGGAGAGAGGGTCCGGTATGACTTTGACACCAACCTGTCTAAACAACGTGCTGCCAGAATCAGTGGCGGCTGGTGGAGTTTTCTCCAGGGGGGGGTATAAATTCAAAATATGCATACACCAAAACATAACACCAGTACATTTATATGAATGCCAACAACAAAAAACATTATTTAAACACCTAATAAAAAAAATTATAATTTCATTACAGGTTTACTTTTTGTACATAAATTTTGCTCTTCTGAGGCTTTCTGAAGGCAAATCTATATTTTTAATGGTCCAATATTGTGTCACACACTTAAAAAAATGATGTACCAGTTTATTAATGAAGAAGTTATTAGTCAGCTTTATATTATTTTAATATATAAAAACTATTTATTTTCTGATAATGGGTTTATTTAAGAGCAACTATGCAAAATAACAAACATCTATAAAAAGTACACTATATTATATTATTTTCCATGTGAATCCCAGATTGTTTTTATTCCTCTTTACCTTTTCTAAAAAGTGCCTTAAATCAGTCCTACCTGTCTATATCCATGCTGGGTCAGATCCTGATGTTTGCAAAAGGAGGCAGTCAAGGCAGCAGAATAAAGCATTAGCCTCACTGCATGCAGTTAGCCAAGCCTTCAAGCTAAACCAGGTCCTGGAAAAGGGCTTTTCTTGTTCCATTTCTCTCTCTCTCTCTCTCTCTCTCTCCAATGCATCTCCAACCCCCGCGTCTCGACCTGTCAATTACCCGCAAAACTTCTGCACTGTGGCAGCAGGTGGTGAGCAAATACTTCCTGTCACCTCAGGGTGCAGCTTAGCTTAGCTGTTCCCTGAGCTGTCCCATACCTTTGTATTGCAGAGGAGCTACTGCGGATGTACAATCTTTAACGATAGTCAATCGGTAAACATTTTTTCGCCCTAGTAAAACATAGTCATCTTCAATGACTATGTTTTACTAGTCATTGAAGACGAAATATTTATCTTGCAGATCTAAAAATTATATATATAGCATATTTCAAAATATTTTAAATGTTCATTTAAAATTTAATTATATCAATTAGGGTCATTGGGTGGGTGGGGTGGTGCCCTAGCGCCCTCTATTGGTCAGCCGCTACTGGCCAGAATACTGTCAATCAGATTATGGGGGATGAGATCAATCATGTCATTGGAAAAAGACGTGATTACAGCTACAAGTTGTCATTTTTTACCAGTCACTGTTATTTATTTATTGTTCCAACGTTTAATACTTTAAATTTAAAGCCACAAAGAACAGATTTTATCACAAATAATAACCATTAGTTAAATTTCTGATATCCATTTAAAATAAGAATCTAAAAATCAACCTCTGAATGAAAAGATGCCAATGATTAAACATGCTGAAATTTTATTATAAGCTTCTCGAGACATATAATCTAATCAGTGTTGTTTCTCTATAGTCCTGGATATTTACTAAAATATCTCTGGGTACATATGTAAGAAAGAAAAACCGAAAAGTACTATTCCTACTCTACTAGATAAAAAGGATCCTTTATAAGCATTATAAGGAAGTAAATCTAGCAGGTTTAAAGTGCCCTAAATCCACTTCACATGAAGGATACATGGCCTTTAACTAATAAAAATTATTTTGGGTAACAAAGAGACATTTCTCTTACTGTCAGTCTAACATTTTGTGCTGTCTATCAAAACACCGGAGGAATGAAAAATTGACAGCCTTCTGTAAAATTGTTCTTTTTTCTCTAATTGTTATGAAAATCTTTAAAACCAATTTTTTACTATAAGGGGAAAGTGGAATGTTTCTGCAAATGTATGATTCTTAAAATCTAAAATTCAGTTTCATTTTTATTTCACAGACAGAAAATATGTTTTAGTGTAACTATGGCTACGTTCACACTGCAGCCTGAAGTGACCCAAATCTGATTTTTTTTTTGCGAATATCCGACCTTCTCATGGCGGTCTGAAGGACACAGATGTTTTCCAATGTGACCCAGGCCGCTTGGCTATGTGGTCCTGAATCCGATACAAATCGGATCTTTTCTAATGTAAACCTGTGTGTGAACGCCAGGTTGTATTCATCTGACCTGAACTACATTAATACTCAACAACAGTCACAATTCTGCGTCTTTCTATGCAGAACCTGGAAGAAAAACAACAATTACTGCGGACGATGATGTGGACAGCAGTCTTTATTTTTAACCATCTTGGAAAGGTTCAGTTTTTAAGGTTGGGAAAGATGGCTAGATGTTCTCCAGCACTACCATCCATGTTTACTTTCGTAAACACGGAGCACACTTGCTTGTGACGTCATTGCGTTTTTCTGCTGCGCATGCAGAAAATTTAAGCTGTATGAATGCAGTTCATACAGGAGATCACATACACGTCGCATATATTTAGAAATGTGAAGGGCAACGTAAAAAAATTGGATAAAAAAAAAAAAAATGGAATTGAGCATCAAGGCCAGCAATGTGAACATAGCCTATGATGATTAGTATCACTTTTCATCTTAAGAGTGAATACTTTCTGCCTTCATCCTACCTTAATTTTATTATTGTGCTGTAGTGAGTTTGCACCTTTGTAGTAAAATGAGATCTGTTTTGCTAACTTTGCCTTTTGTTCTGATCCATTAGATGGTAAACTACAGTGGGAGGAGGAGGCACATGTCAACCGCGACAACAGCAATGAGGTAATTTAAGGAATCTCTCACTTATTTCTGTGTGCTGCTGCTGCTGCTGCTGCTCCACCCAGGAAATTATTTTACGTGTATGTTGTCATATGTCGGATCACAGAAATACGTAAAATAATTTAATGTTCCTTTATGTGCCTTATTTTCTAGAATCATCACACATTGGTTGATTTATATCAATCAGCCTTTGTTGGTTGTAATTTAAATGATTTTGACTCACTATGAAAAGGATAATTATTGGAAACTCGTAGTGTCTCAACCTAATCAGCTACTCATCTGTAAATACCTGGAAAGGTTTGCTGAGTCTTTAACCAGTCTCTCACTTTGGGTCAGTGGGTTACGCAGTCATGAGGAAGACTGCTAGCGTAGCAGAGGTCCAGAACATAGTCCCCGACAGCTTTAACAAAGAAGGTTAGCCACAAAAGGTCATAACTAAAGAAGGGGGTTGTGTACACAAACAGAAAATTGAGTGGAAGGAAAAATTGTGGTGGAAACAGGCGCAATATCAAGAGGGAGAAGAATATAAACTCCTGAACCAGAGACAATGACAGAAGCATCTTACTTGTGTTATGTATATTTATAGTATGGAATACTATTTATAGTTATATATGTGTGTATTTGTGTGCATGTGTGTGTAATTATTCTTTTTCTGTGTTTGTTGCAGTGTCTGCTGTGTGTGCGGGTTCCTGCCTACAGCGACCTCTCTGTCAGCCGGCCTGTCTCTGTCAGTCTGTACGTCTCCAACGGGAAGAGGAAGCGAAGCTGCACTCACTGCTTCAAGTATCTGCCTGGTGAGTCACCACTCTTTACTTACCTCTGACTAACACCGACTTTATTAAGCCTCCTCATATTTACAGCAACATAGACAGATAGAAGTCTAGCCAGAAAAAAATGCAATCCTGCTTTAGGTGTGTAACATCAATTATTTGCATAATGTCACAATTAAATAAATCTGTAGAGTGTGGTGGTGCATAAATCAGTGGTACCTTTTTTATTATCATGTCTAAATACTTTGTAGAAGTTAAATAGAAAACTTAATTTACTCCTGGTAAACCTTGCCTGTGTTGATTTGGCCACATTTGGATGCAAATAGACCTGATGCCAAACCATGTTTCAGCTTTATGACAGAAAAGGTCTGTTTTTGGAGCCACTTTTAAATAACTAATCAACACATTGATAGTGTCTGATATTTTTTATAAAGCCTTAGGGAACTCCAGATCCCACTCTTCTCACCACCCTTACCTTACAAATGGTTTAACAAAAGTCTGTGAAAAAGAACAAAATTTAGTTGTATTATCTTCCACCTGTGAATAAATATGGTGAAACAGAACGTTTGTCCAGATTTTTTTTTTTTAAGATTATTTTTAGGATCTAGTGGCCTTTATTTTGTTATTCTCAAAATTATGGCCACAGGAAAATGGGTTAGAAGAGACATTCCACTAAGGTCAGCAGGGCTGGGATTTGAATCTGCAACAGCTGGTATATGATCATGTTCTCTACCTCCACACCATAGCAGCACACTGTTTGTCCAGATCTATTTCCTTTTCAATGACAGAAAAAAAGTAGATGTTTCACCCGATGGCCCTAATATCTAAGTGACAAAATAAAATATGGACTATAAGCACTATTTGTTGCTCTAAAGTTGGTTTATTCAACAAAAACACTCAGTGACGTTTCGGGCCTCACTCCCTGCCTCAGACTAAAAGGCACCTGCCTTTACAGGCTTAATAGGCCTGATCACCTGAAAAAAATCTATCAGTTATATCATAAGAATAAAATAACATTGAGACACAAAGCTTCTTGTTCACTACATGAACATAAACCTTCATTATGCAATGCAATGACAAGGATAAAGGCTGCCACCTCATCGTGGTTTTAATGAATACATTACATATTAGCAATAATATTACCAGGAGTGTTATATTAACAAAAAAGTCCCAGCAAGGCAAGTGTTAAGGAGACTGTAAAAACTAAAGAAACAGAAATCCTTTTGCAGACGGGGATGAATTTAAAACTGTATCTCCATATCATACATTTTGAAGTTTTCAGAGAAAACAGAGAAGAGATTCACAGAAAAGGTCTTAGGTAAGTTTCCTCATTAAAACCTTTTAAAGCTAGTATAATATGCTAAGTGTAGATTTTTAGGTCACATCAAAACTTTTTTTTTTTTAATCTAGCTGACTTATGATTTAGATTTTTGAGTCCCCATAATACTAATAATTTATCAATTTATTCATAAAGCTTTGAAAGACAACAATGTAGATATATTTTAAAAACTTAAATATTAAAGTAGTGCCAACAGATAGAAGCTCACTAATAAATCAGAAAAACTTTGATCTCATTGCTTTTGTGGCATCTAGATTCTTTTACATCAGGATTTTAAACTTTGTTTAAAGTTCTGAATGAGTTTTAGTGTTGAATGTGTTGTAAGACAAAGCATTCATTGATATAAATCACCTGTGTTAAATCAAGGCTGATCCAGCTGAGATTTCCTGATCAAAACTTGTCCAGATGCCAAATTTCCCCCCAAAACAATTAAATAATGGAAGTAAGGAAGCGTGCTTTAATACTTTGTTGCGTTATGATTGGTAAAAAAAAAAAAAAAGAAACTTGATTAGAAGCGTTTATAGAAACCAAATAGTTAATCATGTTTATCTTCAAAAGTTTATGATGCCACACACATTTTTATAGAAATAAATACTTTGATTACAATTTATCTACAAATCAAGTTGGAAGATATCTTATTTATGAGAGCCTGCTGGGAACATCTCAAAACGAATAGTTCCTCATTTCTCCCATGCAGGCTAACTCCCATTTGGAAAGACCTTGACATCTAGCCAAATAAAAGGGCTATGCTCCTCCCTCATACAGTAGGAATTCTGAATTGGTGCCATTAGGGAATTCTGTGTGTGGGGGACCCTGGCCTCCGTCCACTCTATTTTGTGTTGGTGTTGATGCAGAATCACGGGGCAGTTGAAGAGTGGGGGCCCCCACAGGGATTTATGCCTTAAACTAGGCTTCTATCCCTTCCTTCATTGCATATACAACATCATACATGAGCAGGGTGTGTGATGGTGGATGGAGTACTACACGTCACACCTTCCGAATAGTTTTAGTTTGTCCTGCATTTTTTTTGTTTTTCTACTTTAGATGTTGGTGAAGATTCAGTCATTCAGGTCACTGTCATTCCAAAAAAAGTTAAGAAACAATCCAATAGACTTTGTTTCCAAGTTTGAAGACATTTCGCTTCCCATCCAGGACGCTTGTTCAGTTCAAAATGTCAGAAATAAGGTTGAGTTTGAAGCTTAATAGAGTAGCCCAATACAAAGCCTTGTTTTGACTTAGAAAACATGCAAATTGAAACCGAAGAACGGGTCCGCCCCTTAGTAATGGGGTGTAGTTAAGATCTTTGTTAACAATCTTTGACTGCAATACCCGATACTGGTCTATATCTCTGAAAGAGGGGGGAAACGTTAGGGGCATTGTTGGCCTGACTGACCAGGCCAATAATGTTTTGGTCCCCTGCATGGGGGTGGGGGTTGAGATGATAGCAGGACAGGAAAGGAGACATGTGGTTTGAAAGGGGTGTGAAGGAAGCCATTTATGTTTAGAGAAAAACCAACCTTAAACAGAAGGAGTGGACTCAGGTTTCAGCTCTCAAAAACCTACAACGCAGCGATAGAGTTGATTCCTTCCCACTATCATCTAAACCCCGACCCCCAGGCAGGGGACCAAGACGTCTCACCTGGTCGGCCAGGCCAACAATGCCCCTAACGGCCCCTTTTCAGAGGCATAGACCAGTATCTGGTATTACAGGCTACCAAAGAACCCCAAAGACTGCCCATTACTAAGTGGCGGACCCGTTCTTCCAGTTCAATTTACATGTTTTCTAAGCCAAAACAAGTTTTTGGGTTACTCTATAAAGCTTTGAACTCAACGCTAATTCTGACATTTTAAAAAAGAAAATTAAAAACAATCTACTGGACTTTGTTTCTAAGTTTGAAAACGTTCCGCTTCCTATCCAGGAAGCTTTCTCAATTCAAAATGTCTGGAAGAGCGTTGAGTTTGAGGTTTACGCAGGTGAAGATTCTCATTCAGGATCCAGGTCACACCTCAAACTCATCCTGACATTTAGGTCTTCCCATCCAGGAAGAAAGCTTCCTGGATGGGAAGAGGAACATCTTCAAACTTGGAAACAAAGTCCTTTGGATTGTTTTTTACCTGCCTACTGTTGCTAAGGAGTGGTGACTTATTAGCAACAGTATGTGATTTTTTGCCTTTGTGGGTGGGAAAGATGTTATGGCGTTACCCCCCGACCAGTTTTGGTAACATTTATGTGATTGATTTATCTGTTTATACCTGGGAGGCAGGTACCACTCAATGATTTACCAAATTAGCTCAACTAATACCACCAGAGATGGCAAAAGTACTCACTTTCCGTACTTGAGTAAAAGTACAGATACTTGTGTTAAAAAAATACTCTGGTAAAAGTGGAAGTACTGATTAAACTTCTTTACTCAAGTAAAAGTAACAAAGTACAGGCTTGTAAATTTAGTTAAAGTATAAAAGTAAAAGTAGAAACTACTTTTTTCATGCCGTTGCCTACATTTTAAATGGATGTCTGCCAATAGGACTAGATCTCCGTTGTGTTCATTTTCAATCATCTCGTCGTCCATACTACTATGCTAACGCCACCGCCACCAAGCTGCAATGATTTGCCGCGAATGAATACCACCGAATCTGTCCATTCATCTTGTAGTGGTGCGTCAAATGCAACGTAGATTCCCATCCAATTAGATTGAATTTGGTATTGATGACGTGAAAAATAATAACGGTAACTCCATTGAAATGATTCAAAACTAAAGTAACGAGCCAATTTTTAAAAATGTAAGGAGTAGAAAGTACAGATATTTGTGTAAAAATTTAAGGAGTAGAAGTAAAAATTCGCCATAAAAATAAGTAGTAAAGTAAAGTAAAAATATCAGAAAAATCTACTTGAGTACAGTAACGACGTATTTGTACTTCGTTACTTCCCATCTCTAAATACCACTGAATGTACCTCCCATTTGTGAACACTTTCCATATAATCCTTTCCAGATGGATACTGTGTGGTTTTAAATATAACTTCATTGATCAGTCTGGCTTATGCCAACTTAGTAATTATGAGGTGTGAACATCAGAAAATCCTCCATTAATCGACTGTCTTAACCCGCTAATCATTGGCTGACATCAACTTCACATCTTGACAGTGGCGTTGGATGTAGGAGTTTGCCCTGAAATCGAAGGATTGACGGTTCAAGCCTCGACTCTGACTTTCAGTGTCGTTGTGTCCTTGGGCAAGACACTTCACCTGCATTGTCTACTGATGGTGGTCAGAGGGCCCGGTGGCGCCAGTGTACGGCAGCCCCACTTCTGTCAGTGAGCCCCAGGGCAGCTGTGGCTACAATGTAGCTTGCCACCATCAGTGTGTGAGTGTGTCCGTGAATGGATGTAGTGTAAAGTGCTTTGGTCAAGTCTCCTAACTTGAATAAAGGCGCTATATAAGTACATGCCATTTACCATCTCATTGATCCAGAGGCGATCCACACAATAAAATACGGATAAAAACGTACAGTTATTAATATTAGATATTTCCTCTGCTTTTTTTCCCTTTCAGTGATGTTTAAAGAGGAAGATCCGTTACTTTCCCGACCCTCTGTGACACCCCTGGACGGGGTCTGTCCAGTTGGAGGGCCTCCCAGAATGGACAGAGGTTTCCCCGTTTCTGATGACCGGGGTCTCAGCTTCCAACTGCCCCCCTACCTGTCAGCCTACTCCCCTCCATGCCAAGTCGTGAGTTACCATGAAGAGTTCTGCTCCAAACCAGACAGCGCTGTGGAGGAGCCAGGCGGGTCTAGAGGCACCCTGTCCGAACGTCACCCCAGTTTTGAGAACCTGGAGTTAGGCTTCACTGAACTGCTCCCTCCTCTTTATTCCCGCGGTCCACAGCCTCCTTCCCCGTCTCCTTCCCCGTGGCTGGACTCTCCCTACCTCTCCTCTTCCCCCTCTCCATCTCACTCCTCCTCTCTCAGTCCTTTCCCCACTGAAAGCCCCCTTGCAAACTCCCCTCTGCCGCCGATCCCCACCTCGCCTTTCCCACAGTACTCTGCCTATCCTCAGGAGATGTGCCCCTCCCCACCCTCCAACCCTTACCAGGACACCTGTCCAGCACCTTACTCCCACTATGAGGGCTGGGAACCTCAGGGAAGGATGTTTGGTATCCGACATGAGGGCGAAGGAGACGCCAAGAACCAGGAGTGTCCTTTGGAGTTTACCAGCTCTGCCTCTATGCACCACATTACCTTTGAAGAAGGTGAGGCATTAATCCACAATGGACAGTTTTATTGATCATCATGAAGCACTTAGGAAATGGCTTTGCAGAAATACATGTTTGTCTTAAATATTTAACAAACTCTTGAAAAAAACATATATTTTAATCTCAAACAGTGTGATTCCCATAAAGATCTATGATTCAAATTCCTGTTTGACAAACTCTTGAAGCTCAGATAATGGGATTTTTGTGGATCAAGCACTTTTCTTTATCCCTTGTTCACTTCCATTAATTTCAATAACCCCATATTGGATAATAAAGTTCCTTATAAAGTATTCCTACCCTATAGACATTATTATATTTTATCCTATTACAAGCACAGCTCCATCGTATTTGAAATATTTTATAGAATAAACCAACACATTGTTAGGATGGGGAGCATTTGTGAAAGTACATTTTTTTTCCCGTTTCTTGGATTTTTGTTTAAATTTTGCACACTGACAGTATTTCTTTATTTTATTTTAACTCTTTCCATCCTCCAATCAAGTCTGATCAGTTTTCCTGTTGGTGCTGGAAATAAAAATAAACCCACATGATGTCGTCAGATTCATGTTTCGCCATGGGCATGCTGTGCTCAGATGGAACGCATGTTCAATTTCAAACACGCAGTTTATGCAAGAAGGCCCATATTTATATTTCACACACTGCCATATAGGCCAAATCTGTGACCTATAGCTATACCCATGTTGATATATATATTTTTTTCCAACCAGAGCTGTAGGTTTTTGCAGCTCCTCCAGAGTCACCATGGAGATCTTGGCTGCTTCTTTGATTATTCCTTGCCTTACATTAAGGAGAGGAATAATCAGTTTCCGTTTTTTTTTTCTTTTCTATTTCAGGCCTCATTGTCTTTATGTTTCAGAAAAATATCTTAAATTTTTTATTTCATTTTGTCATTTAAAAACAGCACACTGCTTTAGTATTATGATTTTATACTTTCATTTAGCAGATCAGCTACTTTTTACTGTAAAAAACAGATGCCTGTAGTCAATGTTGTACCAGTTCATAAATAAAAACAATGAGCTCAAAGGTCAGTTCACACAGATGGAAATGAACTAGCTCACCTTCATAGTTCATTTTTTCAAAAAATGGACTAAATTCACAAACCTATAAATTAACTAGTTCAAGTTTGTTTGGTGAATTAAGCCACAATCCTACAATAGAACCTTATATTTCACTCTTTAAATGTATCATCATAATATATTGAAAGAAATGGAAAATACTGGATGCAGTCCAGGTATACTGGATGTGCAGTGAAGCCTTTATTTAGCCAAATAACACAGAAGTTCAGAAACAGTCAGGAACATTCAGGTTCTGCTGAAAAGATCTGGATAAAAATGATTTCCTACATTCCTCATTCAGTAGCAGATATTTCCCCAGATAGCACAGATGTTTTCACACGATGTGTCGCTTTAAATTTGAAGTGGACGTGGCTGACGTACCGACTTGTTTGTTAAGTCCCAGCAGGCACAGTTTGCAGAAAAATGAAAGTTTTTCTTTGCCAGTCTTCCTTTGTTAGTTCATTAAACTCTGCCGAGCGTTCTGCTAAACTGGCATCAGGAATACCAGCAGATGAGTCTGATTCATGCAGACTAGTACTAGCAGTAGACCTGATGCTCTATCATGCTGTCTGCCGTAATAAGTGCTATAAAATCTGACATTATCCAATGAAAAGTGTCCTTATCAACTGAACGCGAACGTGAGCTGTGTGTGTGTGTGTGTGTGTCACTCATTATTACGTTCATTACTTCAAAACTGATCCATTCAGCTCACCGTTCACTTACATATGAACATATTCAGTGAACACCATTCATGCACAACACTGCCTGTAGTTCATGACTAAACCTGTTTTTTTCTGCATTTGTTCAAATCAAACTCTAATTGGCAAGAATAGGCTCGAAGGCCTTAGGTTTCACACGTGACCTGAACTTTTCAGTTTAGGTCGTTGTTCATGGTTTCATGGTTTGCTGTTGCTTCATAGTCATTCTTCTCTTAGATCAGAGGTCTTCAACAGGGAGTCCGTGACCCCTAGGTGGTCCACAGAGGTACTGCATGGGGTCGTGAAGGTTTTTGTTAATTAGACTTTTTTTTATATTCCCCCTGCAATTTTTTTCACTAATTGAAATGTCTTTAAATGCACATTAAAGGCACACTATGCAACATTTTTCAGTTAATTAATGTGTTCCATAA